CTCGATGGCAGACGAGTATTTCTCCGTACATTCAGCTTGGTAGGAAGGAATTAGCCCTTCTTCCCACGGTTGAAGCATTCTCTTCCTCGTCTGCCTATCTGCACTCATGCATCATCGCCCCAACCCGGGCCGGATGTTGTAATCTGAACCACATTCTTTTTCCCCGTGCCAATTTTCTCCTCAATACTGCTTCATTCCTCGTTCAACAAGGAAATCTGGTGACTCGTGAAAATTGGACTATATTTACCTACATGCCTATACTGTACATTTTGGTGATTGACTTATTTCAACCTTGTCAAAGTTTATTGCATGTTAGATTAATGCCAAACTTTTTGTTACTGCCGAATGTTTCACATTCAGAACTACCACCACTTACATTGTTAGTCTCGTATGTAACATGCAACCATAATTTTGCCGAACTCTTATTTTAAACTTTCATCAGTTATGTAAAATCTGTACCTTCATGGGACCAAAGTGATCTGAATAAGGATAGAAATAAAGTCATACTCATACGCATACGTTTCGTTTTATGTTTAATGAATTGTGAAAATGGACACAAATTATAATTTTAAGACATTAAGCGCTATTTTCAATAAACCGTCACACCTCTCACCTAAGAATCCTTATTTTGCAGCTGTTGAAAGTCGACTTAGAGATTAGTATCCACCCATTCCTTTCAGAAGTGAAATTCCTAAAGGCACAGGTATTTCTTAAGTCAACCTCTTTGTTTATAAATACAACGTTAAATATAAAGTATTTAAGGTGCTAAATTATTCACTTGGCATGCCAGTTTATGTAAAAGGTCATCATAAATTATTCCTAAGTGAAAGGCAAACATTCGATTCGACATTCGGGGTCAATCATATTCTTCTAGAAGGCAGATTCAGTACTTGTTTATTCTCATATATCCCTGTTCGAAATTATGAAATTTTATCCCAGTCTTGAAATGGGTTCTTCTATTCGGTTGCTTTTATCGTTACTCGTCACGCTCTCGATTTTGTCAGACTTTTCAGAATGCTCTAACCTATCCCAGGGTCTATTTGTTGAGTCCGATTTGACCTTCATATTTATCACAGATAATTTCCCGTTGGTCGACATGGACGCAGATTTCCCTTATTTCAATGTTCTCAGGGTTAAGAATTCCAACACCCCACTCCGTCTACTAGTCATGGGATCAGAATATGAATCCAGATATGACAACTCTGTAACTTCGTTTCCATATCGCGATACGGAAAAGTGTACACGACCAAAAGTTATTTTCTTACCCGCAACACCAAGCGGGCATCTTGAATCGTCAGGTATGTGGACATGTGAGTCCTTGCCGGTACTTGCAGATACCGATTTTCGACAAGATTACGTGTTTTTGGAATCCCAGGATACGGAATGTTTCGCATATTTACCCGGATTAATGGGAAGCGCGAAGTTTGTCACGTTTGAGAAGAGTGTCACCTTAGCCATGTCAATTCCTTGTTTGACGTGTAATCCGATCATACTTTTGAAATTGGAAAGTACCACATTGCAAGGCATCTTGAAGGATTGGGATGCCCAAAATAGCGACATGCACGGACATACGGTCTCCGTCCGGCAACGAAAGAGCGTATCGTGTGGCCTGTTATACAGTGGATTTAGACATTTGGAGTATCCATTCTTCTGTTACACGGCAACACTTGCGGAAAAATATAATTTGAGCTTAGGAATTCGAAATCTGGGAATGTACCATTCTCTAAGGAACAGGAATTTCGACCTAACACTATACCAACGGACACACTTGCCATTAGATTACGTTTCACAATGGTACATTTACCGCGTGCAGATCGACAGATTCAATTTTATAACGGTTACCAACCCAGCGATTTCTGAGAGCGGTTTGGCAAGCTTCGCGACGCCTTTCGACAAGGAGACGTGGACGTGTCTGGCAGTTAGCGGCGTTTTAGTGGCGGCCTATTTAGCATGGGTTGGGGCAAGGAAGGAAAACTCGTGTCTTGGCTACGTGAAGGCGATGAAGGATAAGGTAATCGCCGTCATATATATTCTTCTAGGGCAACCTGGGGGGAGTTCTGGGAAATTGGACATCGTCACCATGACTCTCTTGCTATTTGGGAATATTTTCCTCATGATGAATTTGTATCAGGGGTCGATCTATTCGTGCATGACGGTTCTCATCCCGAACCAAACTCCGCGCGGGTTGGATGAACTCCTTAGCTGGAAAATTCCCATAATTGCGATGGAAGTAGGGGTTCATTTGGTAGGCTGGTACTACACATACCTCTCGGAATTCGCCATTAAGCCGCTAAGATCAAGTGAGGGTTGGAATTCAAAATTTATTCAAACTTTGGACACACTTGAGAAAAGAATTTTATTCTTCAGTAATACGTCGGTGTACGCAATGGTGCACAAGACTTTGCTAGAAAACACGACCAGAAGGCATCCAATGATCGCGTTATTTGTTGCTAATTCCGGTGTGGACAATTTCATGACGGTTGTAAAAATATTGGGGAATCGACACGTTGTAAGAAATAAGGAAGAGATGCCGTTCAAGTCGGTGCATTACGTTATTGGTAACCGGAATTTGCTTGTCCGCTACTTCTCGAGGGGATTGGGGCAAATTGAGCAGGCTGGGTTAGGTAAAGTGTGGGAAAATGCGGAATTGGTTAGCTCCTGGGTACGACGGAAGGACGGTCTTGTATCTATGAATAAATATTCGGATGCGGTACGAAAACTGCTTGGAAATCCGAGGGAGCCCGTAACATTTCACGAGTCGGTCGCTGTCTCTATGGAACTAATTGTTCCGGCCTTCTCCCTCTGTGCGGTTGTTATGGCGTTTGGCGTTATTGAATTCCTGATGGAGAATAAGGGGTTTGTGACACCTTTGGGAACATATGTTGTCCGCGGTTTCACTCAAGGAGGGCGTTGTTTTGTTTGGAAAAAGGTCATAATTCATGCCAATTCGGGGATATTTGCAAGGAGACGGAAGTCGCGTTTTTACAAGTGAGAACTGAGAAGATTGAAGATTCAGAGAGTATAAGGGAATATGGGGGGTTTTTGCGTGTGCGTGTGAGTGTGTGACCCGGAACGGGAGGAGAGGTCAAGGTCGCGTGGACGGTGAATGTGATGATGATGATGATGATGCAGAGATTGCATAACAAATTTATTGTAGATTTGACCGAGTCACGATTGGTTGGCTCGTGAAAGAGAGAGAGAGAGAGATGAGGAGGAGGAGTGATCATGTGGTGCCACCCATACCTCGTTTTTTACTCGTAGTGTCTCCATTAGTTTATGTTGCGGATGCTTTACAATGCATTTTATGGAGGAGAATAATAAAATGAGAATGAACAGGAATTTGCTTTAAAAAAGTTGTTTATTGTATTAACCGGTTTTTTTGGAGGATTCATTGCGTATATCGTGCACTGGGTCCAATCACAATCTAATTCATGGCATCGATTTATTATTCCATTTCATTAAGTGACTGAAGAATCGTGAGGGGACAACTGCAAAATTTTTTTTATGTTCGTAAACTAGCTACTTTCGTAGAATTACACGCACCATCAATCTGACTTTTGTCCCCATAATTTCGTTACGAGGGCATTGAGAGATTCATGAAAACCAGTTTACAAATAAGCTGAATTATTTACTTGAATGTTGGAGATGTTGAAATTCAAGAAGCATCCTAAAGGATAGGAGCAGAAATACGTAAGGCTTTCTACTTTTTTTATATTTTTTAATTTTCAAAATCGAGCTCACGGAATCCGAACCAAAACCCCGCAGTGAGAGACATCCTGCGTGCGCGTTTTAGGTTGCACCCGGATAGGTACAAATTGTAGGCAGTTACATATTAGGGTCATGGTGATTGGAAACAAGTCGGAAATAAATAATTTGTTTTTTGTTCCATTATAGTAAAATTTATTTAATCATGAGGGTTATGCATGGTTATCATTTGGGGTGGAGTAGCTTCCCCCCGGAGGCTGAGATCGCCGGGCGGCGGTCGAGGGGGGGATCCTCCGGGGGGGGGGCGTGACCGCGTAGCGGTCACCATGGCATTAGAATAATGATATGTTTCCTAAAATATGTATATATTTATGTTTTTTGTCATGAAAATAAATTGCACACAAACAAATAGGTACTGTGGCAACAATATTTATTGAGTAAGTTTAGTCCATATAAATTTTTGACACCGTAATAATCCCTTTATTTTCCTTATCTATATATTCTGGTAGGGTAGTTGCAGATTTGGCTTGTATAATCGCTACTTTATAAATTAAACATTTTTTAATAAATTTAAATTTTGATTTCTCAGCTTTTTCCAAAATCGTATTCCAGTAATGCAGACCACATAGGACGTAGTAATCCTTTTTAACAATTACTTTATCGTTGCTATCCATCACGATTCCACTTGGAATATCCACTTCAAAGTGATTTACTTCATTTCCTGTCACTACTGACATTACATTGTTAAGTGGATTTCGTATCGCATATTCGTCCCACATTTTCCGCTGCTTTTCTCTAAAAACACATAAAATTGGTAAAAATTGCATTAAAAAAATCGCATTTTCTTACATATTCGTTTTGTTTCCATTTTATTTGTATTTTATTTGTATTTTATTTGTATTTTATTTTTATTTTATTTCTGGGGAGATTGAGACTGTTTAAGGTTTGGAAGATGAAATGCTTCTGAATATTTTTTTAGTGTGCCAGGTGCAATAAGCCCTTGGTTCAGGCTAAAAAAGTGCAAGTTTTACCCTATAAATAATGCTCAACTGCATCATATGTAAATTATGCAATGGTGCAGCTGCTGTCAAGTTCAAGTCAAGAAACTGCAGCATGCAGCAGAGGATGATTTTTAGCATTTATGATTATTCCAAACCAGTTCTAGCCAGCCTCAATTTAATATACCAACATTCTTCAGTGAGGATGGAAGTGAATTTTGAGAAATAATTCTAACACATGAATGAAAGTAGGATGAAAAATTATTGCAAGACTACAATTTTTATCTAATTTTGCCCGTAACCAAATTTGTTTATTTTCATATTAAAATGCAGTTAACAAATTCAAAGAAAATAAATGTTTATAAACTATCCATTAGTGGTGGGAAGTTGGAAGGCGAGGGTCGGGGGCAAATTGAGAAGAGTTTCTGAAACCAACCAAACTTAAGTTAGAAAAATTATTATTATGGTTAAGATTACACACTTACCCAGATAAGGCTTGGACCTTGTTGTTCAATTCTCTAATATGAGCAAGCAAGGCTAAAATGTCGGCAGCCGCGTAACCCATCTTTTGCAGAACAAAATTGAGTGTGCAAGTCCTCTCGTCGCTTATAGAATTTGTGAGCCTGTTTATTTCATTATTAAGCAGGTTTATTTGATGTTGCAAAACCACTCTCTGTTCTTCCTTGGTATGTTGGGCTTGCTTTATTTCATCGCGGAGACAAATGACATTGCCTTCTAAAAATCTTATAGATACTTCATTTTCTTCCAGTGTCTTTTCCATGGTTCGTATCTTGATCTCCTGCGAGTTGGTCTTGTTCCTTAAAGACGAAATAAAATCTTTTTCTGCCCCAAGAACTGCATCAGAATTCTTGATGGCTTCAGTTTTTGCTAAGGAAGAATCTGCTTCTTTTGCAATAGCTATCTTTAGCTGAGTGTTCTCTTCTTCAAGGCACAGAACTTTTTTGTTGAGCTCTGTGATCCGCTCGTTTACGAATTCTATTTTATATTCTTGCAATTTTGAAATGCTTGAGAATGCGTTGGGGTCTTCTAGAAGAAACTCAATTTCTTCATCTCCTATTTTCTTTTGAATTTGGTGAACGACAACGGCTTGTTTTGCAGTATCCCCCACTGGAGACAAGTCGCCGAAGCTGCCTCCCACCAAAACGGCACCTGCAGGGGCTGGAGGTCCCACTTCGTCCAGTTCAAGGATGTCTTCCAATATTCCCTCCATAATTTCTCCTTCAGGCGTCGATGGGGTTGATCGGAAAATTAGTTTCCGAGCAACATCCTTGCCTCTTGGGTTGGGTGGTACGTGTGGGGTTTGTAGAGAATTGAAAGGTGTTTCTCTTTCTAAGTCATTCATTGTGTAAAAGGAAAGGTCCATTTATAAAATTTACGAGGATTTGAATTTGAGAATGAAACCAAATGAGAATTGTGATGCTTTATATATGCAAAAATTTTATGCAAAATAATCAACGACCAATTTTAACAGGAAATACTGTTGGTTTTATTTCAGTTTTTTTTTGTACCTATGTCTAACAAACCGTGTCACACCCTTTCTCTGCCTTACGATGTGCATAATTTTTATTTCTCCTAACTATTTCTCGAATCTGAGTAATCTGAATATCCATTCTTGAAACAGTCGCGGCATAAAAAAGTGAGGTTAATATCATAAATAGCAGAGCTAAGGAGAAAATAATTGCGTAGTTGTTATTATTATATGTATTAAAATGCAGCGTTGAATTAGATTTAATATAGAGAGGGGGAATTTTATCAATATCCATCTGCAAACGATTCCCACAGTGTAGTTCGTCCGGCTGATAAATGCGTTTGGCCGGCTCACCAATAACCAGTTCTGAGCATTCATCTTGATTACACCAGCGTCCCACTATCCAACTTAAGTTCGATGTGGGTGGATTTCTCATACAAGAATATCGTGGCTGGCTTGCTGCATAATAAACGTGTTTGAAAAATGCCGATTCACCGTCCGAAGTACATTTAACGCAGTCCTGCACAATGGACGTTGAATTTTCACCTTGAACTTGTAATGCGAAAATTATTGCGAAAGCCAGTACTGAGATTGCCTGGTGATGCATCATGCTCTTCAACCTATGCCAAAATTAATGCGTCAAATAAATTATGCAAGCGATAAAATCTCCCCCATTCACTTACAGATTGCTTGAAATTTTTGTAAAACAAGTTTACTATGTCGTCGTTGGCTCTCTTGTTTCTAACGTTGAAAAGCTTTTCAATTTTTCGAAATCCTACACCCTGCAGTTTTTTATGACTGAAGAATAGGGCTGCCAAATAAAGACTGATGTAAGTTTTAAAAATTCCCAACTTTATATACAAATTTTTGTACCATGTTTTCCACAAGTACTAGAGTTATGTGACTGAATTGCATAACGATTTCTTTTGCAAATTTTTACTGGCCAACTTAATTTATATTTTGATTGTGGCTTGCCGAGGGGATCCCAAAATTCAGACACCAGTTTACCATTCACACAGTGTGAATAGTATGTAACAAAGTACTTGCCTGGTAAACCTGTTCGCTAGATTAGATTAGTAATTTTTTTGTGCGAGTTTTTTTAATTTTTCACCTGAACGACAACAATTTCTTATTGCGAGACTGGGAAGGCTTTTAAATATATCAGAAGTGCAGAAAATAGGATCGCCAGTAATAACGAACACACTGGTCTCATTTTTTGAAGAATATAATTGCTGTAACTTTTTCAAGTCCTTAAAAAGTGTTACAGAATCCATTTCAAATTATTACTGCGTCGGAATAGACACGTCGTTCCTTGTCAATCTATTTAAAAAAATTATATTAAATCACGAAATAAAAAAATATTTAGTACAATTAATACCTGAAGCAGTGAAGGGAATTCTGCCATGCAAACGAGAACTAGTGGTTCTGTAGTTGGTTGGCTAAATTTCAGTAATAATTTTGTCTGATTATGCCCCTGGGTTTGAAATTGATCTCCAGCTGAAGGCAAAAGTTCTACTGCCATCAGGAAACGATTTCGACCTTCATATTCTTCCCTTCCTATCCCATTACCAAGTTGTTTTGTGCAAAGCGAATTTAAGCTTTTGTAACCCAAAAGCGATCCATCTTGAAAATTTAGAGTGCGGAGAAAGTCGTTACTTTCACCTTCAACTTGCACCGTCACCATATCCAAATTATGCTTAGAAAATGCGAATGGCGACAGTCCGTACGAGCCTATATATTGTTTAGCGGTAAGTAAACCTAGAATTAAAAATGTTGGGGTAGGCCCAGAAAATAGGACGTTTGATGCAGTGTAGCTTCCAGTCGGGATGTTGAAGCTTTTCATCTCTTTGCTTTTCATCAAGAAATTAAGTCGATTTTTACTTAGCATTGCGTGCACATGAGTAAGTACTTTTTCTGTCAGCTGCACCCGATGGCAATAAAATATTGCGGACTCGACTTTTATTTTGTAGGACTTTTGGGAAGCAGTTTCTCCTGAAGTTTGCACACCAGTTGGGTTGCCAAATAATGCTAGTGTATTTTTGCTTCTTTTCACAGCCAACGTCATATGCACTCCATCCGGAATTAAACGTGATTGGGATTGCAATGAATGTTTTAATATCCCCGTCACCTCAAACTGCTTCGAACCATTGGTGTAAGCCTTTCGCACGGCATAGTTAGCGTTAGTTGTGTCGTATTTCTCATTCTCGTCCAAATAAAAGAGTTCGGTTGACAATGTAGATTTTTTTACGCCCTCAGACTCGAAAAGATAATTTTCCATGAAATGACGCCATAAATAGAGCGAATTTTGATTCCGTGAGACGGGCGTAGAATTCAATTCTAAATTCACACTTTCAATGTATGATGCAAAAAAATTCTCATTTGGTGCAATGTCATCTTCCGTATCTAGATCACTGCCATTTTCCTTCTGAATCCTTAAGCGCAGATACAAGTAAGACGAAGCGAGATCTGTGAAGTGATTTGTTAACGCCGGAATGTGAAAAATAAATGGATTGCCTTCTGATTCACTGTAGCCAGGCTGCGGCCAAATAGGCGAAAAATCTGTATGTAATGTTTGTATCTGGCATTGAATAATCCAAGTGCGAGGAGTAGACGAGCTTTGAGTTTGCATAGGTTTCCATGGCTACTTCTTCCTTTTATTAACTTTACGGGTCTTCCTTTTCGGAGTTGATTTTTTGTGAGATGCTTTCTTTGGAGTTGATTTTTTAGGAGATGCTTTTCGTTTCCGTCCTCTCTTCTTGGGTGATGAATTTACTCTGGGAGAGGAAGTGCCACTGCCTGTTTGTTTTGTCTTTTTTGCAACCTTCTTTGGCGATCTTCTCGGTGACTTTGGGAGTGGCATGTAAGTTTCTCCATTAATGGATAGTCTACCCCCTCCTATTTGAGCCATGGCGTTTGACTCAAGCTGGCATTTACCGTTCACACAATTTATTTTTCTCATGATGCTCGAAATTTAAGGACCACGACTGTCGCAAATTCAGACGAGAAAAGTGGTTTAAAATTTTCAGTTGTTAATTTAATATCGAAATTGCAGAGTTCTGCACAGTTCAAAGGATGAAAGTATAATGAGGAGAAAGCAATGTGCTGCACATCTTTTGAAGGTTTTCTTGGAAAAATTCTTAGCGATTGGACTGACCTAGATCCGAACACCTGTCCAGCAATCTTGGATGAATGGACAACAATCTGCTGGCCAGGGTGATACTTTATTCGTGACTCATTCAGCTTTTCCAAATTATCACTGACTTTGAATATGGTAATGTTCTTCTGAAATTTGTACGATTCTGGCAACCCCAGCGCTTCATTCACAGCAGCAGGAAATTTAATTGATAGACGTGGGTAGTCTGGATATAAAACTTGTAGTGTAGTTGTTTCAATATCATATGACATATGGATATCATAATCTGATAGTGCTAAAGCTGTTGCACAATTAAGTATAAGCATTTCAACATTGTGACTTGATGGCTCTGTCACTTTTATTTTGTCTTGTATTTCTTTTTGAATTGAAAATACTACTAGAGTATTCATCTCAATTTCTTCCCCCAAGTCACGGTCTACTGGTCGGTTTGTTACGTGGACTCCAGCAGAAAATCTATTCGTATCAAACCCCAACATTTCACAAAAGATTGGTGGTCCAATTACGCAAGTAAGTTCATTTTTCGGATCTAGAATTTCTAGAATGACTTTTTGGATAACGTTATCATCATAGAAATATTTAATAGAAACTGATTCATTGACTGGTGATGGCGTCAGGCCTTCTACATTTGTCTGTAATACTGCAAGGAAGGTATCCAGAGATTTAACGATCTTGGGAATCTGTGTGTGGCGTGCGGACGTTCTAGTCAATGTAATCACGTTATCGTCAATTGATTGTCCAAAGTAGGTTTTTTTCTCATTTTGAACTGGTAAAATTTCACTATCCTTTTCCTTGTAAAATATTTCAGATAAAGCAACTTCATAATTCTGTGAGACATCAATAGGCTTGTAAAATTCATTGCAAAAATTGAAAGCGCTGTTATTGGGATAATAATCTGCACTATGATTTGAAAGCAAAGTTACGCTAAACTCTGAATCGTCCCGTGCAATATTCATTTTTTTGATTGACGAGTAGATTGACGAGTCACGATTTTGTTTGGTTCAAGGAGTTTAACTGGTTTTGATTGTCTAGTTATTCGCTGTGTTGTGGGTGATTTCGTTTTTGAATGTCGACTGGTGTTAGGTATGGTGTTTGGGTTAACTCTGTTTAATTGAGAATCGTAAAAGGCCCCTTGGATTGGAATATTACCCTCATCTGCCAAATAGTGGACGATAACTGCTCCCTTATTTCTGTTTTCACTGCGTATTATTTGAAAAATTTCATCAGTCCAATTTTGCAAATAATTTTTCTGGCCAAGACTGATTTTTTCTCTTGAAATCCGGACCCAATCTCGAACCTTAAATTTTGTAGTGGGGTAGGTGCAACAATGATACGATGAAATTTATGGTGAAAAATTTTATCATGATTCTCTGGTTTTCTTGCTTGAATGGGCGTCAGGCCAGCTAGTGCAGGAAGTCGTGTGTTATTTAGACCTTTAGCTACTTGGTCGAGAATATTAACCCAATTTTTATTCCCAGTGCTCGTCATGTGCATATACAATTTTGATTTTACTTTTCTAATGCCAATTTCTGCGTAAACAGACTTGGTCTGAGCGGATGTTGTAGAATAAAATTTGCAACCATATTCCTTGAACAAGGCTTTTGCTTCATGGCTGAGAAACGCACTTTCCCTGTCTCCCCATAAATAAGTGGGAGAAGGATGCATTGACTTTAGCATTGTGCGTAGAGCAGGAATAACATGCTTGTTCCCCTTAGAAACCAGTTTCTGCAGCCAGATGTACTGGCTAAATACATCGCATGCCAACAAAAAATAAATAGCTCGTGTTCCTCCTTGAGACCATTTGAAGTTCATCATTACTCCAATGTCAATAGCTATTGTATGCATTGATGACATTACCATGATAGGTCGCCTTGGAAACCGTTTGCGTATAGGACCCTTATGTAAAGAGTAAGAAGGAATCTCATTCAAAGCTTCTTTGACCAATCCTTTATTATGCAAACGGGAATTGTATAGAAAACGAGACAGACTGCTGTAGCCCGAGGCGGAACCAGGTTTCAGCCACTTTTTTTGATGGCCTGTTTTTCCTTTTCGTCTGCTTCCATTTGAACTTGGTATCAAATTCTATCCACTTGCACTTTTCTGTTGACCCACTGCCAGACTGTCCGTCCAAGGATATCTTCCTCTCTTTATTATGATCGTCCCACACTCCAAGTTCTTTGGCCTTTAGATATTTTTCATTCGATATTACCCTCAGAGTTAACATAGTCAAATGCACATAATAATGCTTCCTCCTCAAGGCAACTTAAACAGGTTTCGATGGTTGAAACAATTACAGCTCGTCGACTGCTAAATAACTCCCTTATGCTCTTTTCTTGTAGAACTCGTTCATGCAAAAGTAAACTTTACTTTTGCTTTTATTATTACCCAAAAACTTATCCCGGTTACATAATATTTCAACAATAGTTTCAACCTGTCTTAAAGAACAGTTTGAAATTAACTGTTTGTATTTTTTCGCATCCAAAGTGATACAATCTTGCAGAAATTTAAGATTTTCTGAAATTCTACTCGTCGGGTACATAGTATAATTTTAGATTATCACTATCAGGATCAGGATATAGGAAATTTCGGGTTCGCATAATTTCCGGAGTATTTGGGTGGAGATCCAGGATGATGTAACCGTATGGAGTTCGCGATGCGTCTGAGAGTGAATCATAGAGAAACCTACATTTTATAGAAAATTATATTATTTTGCAGGTGTAATATTATTTCACGAATTACCTTGGTGTCTCAGGAGCATACTGCTTATTGACATAATTTATGTATGATTTGTCTCGTCTGCGAAATAAAAGTATCATTTTTATTTTATTTGCAAATGCTACTACTGACAATTTACCTATTCGGAAAAAAACACAGCATATTTGAGTTCAAACTTATCGCTCTGAAATTTTTTGGGAAGGCAATCTGGATTGTGGTCAGAACGGTGATGGACTTATGATGTGATCCTTTTGTATATAGATCTCGGAGCCATCTCATTGCCTCACCATCATCCTCAAACACACCTGCCACACCAAAGAGTAAAATAATAATTGGATTTCGTGTACGTAACAACTTCATGTACTTACCAACCAAGTCGTCCAAAATAAGTAAACTTCCAATTGTAGAGTCGATGTGAGAGTCCACCTCTCTCCAGTCACTTACAAATATTACCTGAATTTTTAGTTAGTAAAATTTATTTCCTTCTTTAATAATAAAAAAATGCATGTTCCTACCTCTGGGTTGGATTGTTGAAATTCCATCAATTTCTGCTGCATTTGGCCGTAACAATAAATAGTTTTTAACTTGATTCCAAATATTTTTTCACGGTTTGAAATCCATTTGCAAATTTCAAACGTTTTTCCCACATTTTGATTTCCTGAAATAAAATATTTATATTCCTAGCCATCACCAAAGACTATAGTTGTACCTGTAACAAGTCCTGTAAATGGGTGAGGCACCTTATAATGAAGCATTTCTTCATTTAATCCAACTTTAAAGGGATCCATTTTCTATTCCAATTAGCTCAGGAATAGGCTGCATCCAATGAGCCCCAAATGGAAGGGTATTTATTCCGTCGGGAAGGATTATTCGACTGGTGTTTATTCCTCCTAAAGCTGTGAAGCGTTTTTTAACTATTTTCAATTTATGATTATTGGTCTGGAGAACATTCATATCGACATGCTGAGGTTGAGAGTTAAACAAGGACTGTTTGTACATTTCATGAGTCAATCTATTTTTGGCATCAGGAAACCCTGACCAAGTTTTGCGTCTTGAGCACGTACAACTCGGATCAGCAGTGTTGTGACATTTAATGCAAAACTCCTTTACTGAATAAGATTTTCCTCGTAATGACTGTATAGAAAAAAAAGTTAAATATGCCTACAATAAAGTGTAACTAAGCTTACAATTATCTCAATCGCATCCATAGTCTGAACCTTCCAATACCCTCCCTCACCAGCATGAGAGCTGTCATACAGAAAGTGAAAAGGGTTTAATTCGGAGTAATCAAGGTTTGGAATTCTCTTTAATCTTTCGAAAAAGTTATTATGTGGATCAGCCACTTGGCAAGCAATTGAGTCCGTATCATAAAAGCCAACTTTTAGGCCAGGGCCGAGATTGCGCTCTAATACTTCCAGAAATGAATATAAGGATCGCTTCGCCCTATGGACCAAATTCAAATAATTATATTTTCATTGCATAAAGTAACAAAAAAATGCATACCTAGGCAAAATGAAACAGGCTGCAGCTGGATTTTTGTTGTAATGTATTGTATTCTTCCTCATAAGAAACATTACAATTCCATCTTGCCTATTTAAAATCTTGTAAGACATAAAATTATGCTTTGACAGGAATTTTATTGCTTCGTCCGAGGTGCTTGCAATGTGCACATCTAGATAATTTTGGGATGACAACATCAGGTAACCAAAAATCCGATTTTGTATATTCTTAAGAAACATGTATCCAATATCATCTCTCGTCATTTTTGCCTGCTGTCGTAGCATTGAAACTAACTCATAAAATTCTCCAAGCCAGTTGGTCTGCTTGTATTTAATTGCTTTGTTAAGTTTACGAATGATAATTCCACGTGACTTGTAATATTTTAATGTAGCAATTTCACAGGTGTAATTTGGTTTATCGTTTACATCAAGGATTATTCGAGATTCCATCCCTCGTGTATTTCCTGCACCATGCAACTCAGCCCATGCCTTCTTTTCTTTTGCTGACAATTCGGAAAGGTTTACACTGCGGCGATACGGAAGTAATGGCAAATTTATTGATTTTAAAGCTAGATCACGGGGATACTCTAAATCTGCTGAGATTATGTAACCGAAATCAGAAGTTTCGTCATAATTGTCGATGTCAATGGTTGACAAGTCCTCCACCCATTCGTACTCTGAGTGACAAATCTTGCTTTTGCAAATTATATTGCCGTACATTGCATTCTCATCAACTACTAGGATCTGTGATCGCTCAGAGGGAGTAGTGAATGTATGCAGTCTCTCATTCTTTGCTTCCAAAAGCCTGCAAACACTGCCACATGGCCCACCAATCTGTTCACAAAATTCAATCATCTCCTTGTCTTTGATAAATTGAAACCCGTGGTGCATTTTACGGGTGCAAATATCCCATGCATAAGAAGAGAGTGAGACGTAATGAAGGAAACATAGTTCAAACTTATTCATGGTGAAGTTATTAAAGTTGATTACGATGTCCGCAAGTAATAAAACTTGAGAAGTGCCACATAATGTGGCATAGTCACGAAAAGTTTTACATTCAAATAAATTGTAGGCATGCTTAGACTTGAGATATTTATCTTGTCCTTCTTCCAAACCGGTTAATTCAACAAAGTAGTCTGGATGGGGGAACTCATCATATTCTAAACTGGCAGGCCCAGTGTAAAACGTGGTTGGATAAGTTAGCGATTGAATTAATGTAGGCACATGCTCTGTTTTTTCTTTGTAGCAGTCGTATAATAATGGACATCTGTCTGGCCAGTTTTCTACTGGATTTGCACCTAAATGTCTTGTAATAATTTGATCCATATGTGCATCCAGAAAAAACTGAAAGTCGACGAATCTAATCCCCATGATTTGCAGAAGGAGAATTTCATGCTCACTTTTCATTATGATTTTTGCTTTTGACACCCACTCGCTTTTCAAACTAGTTAGTATACTATGCAATTCTTTTTTTGCAATCCCATGACCAATAACTATAGGTGTTGGCTTGAGTCTTATGAGATAATTGCAAGTCCTGCACAATGTTTGTCTAAATGCCCCAGTAATTTTATCGTGGTCAGCGGCTTTAGGGAATGATTCTGAGAATTCTACGGAGCACAAAGGACATCGGGTGGCTAATTTGTGCTCAAGTTGTTGTAAGGGTGAAATAATCATAGGGCATTTCATTTCCAAAACTCGTTCTCTGATTTCCTCCGTTAATGCAAATACTTGCTTCAAAAAATACTCTATAGCATTATTTCCAAAATATGAATCCGTGAATAGAAATTGGTTTTTCACTTTATTCAAAGCCCCAACTACACATAGACTGTATCCAAAAACTTCCAAATTATTATGGATGCTGGTAAAAGTAAGGTCGCCTGGATAAATATCACTAATGTAATCAGCAGGAATATTTGCATAGTGAAACTTGAAAAAAATTTTGAAGGGAATCTCTTCATAACTTTTAAAATGCTTGAATGAAAAAAAGTCTTCCTTCGGGAAAGTAACTTTGCGAATTCCCCCTTTCTGCATGCAAATCTCTTCATGCCGTGCAAGATTTGCATAGGTCCCAAAGCAAAATTGGCATAACTAATTAATAAAATTGTGAGATAATATTTAAATCAATATCAATCATATATGTAGTATCAATCATATATGTAGTTACTTCTTTTCTGTGATGTCCGCCAGCAGAGGCATTCGAGATAGGTATGGACATAATTAAGCAATAGTGGTAGCGATACTTTATGTCGCGAAAATTTGTTGGCATGGGGTGACCAGGTTCTATAACGGGCTCTTTCAAAAAAAGTAGGTCGCAGTGACGGGAGTGAATTTCGGAAGCTGGGCGGATAGGGAAAATGGATTTCTTATCATGGCTAAAAATAGTGACTGAAATTGATGGATTTTTATCCAAGAAAGTGGAAACTAAATCCAAGCTGACCCCATTATAACAATCTGAAAAATCTATTTCTTTTGTTTCACTGAATTTTCGAATCATGTGTTCGTACGAGGATGAATTTTGGCATAGTCTCTTGAGTCGTACTTTTTGATTTTTATCTAAATCATCCCATTGTTTTCCTGGCGCGTCTGGTAGGCAGATTTGTGATCGGTAAAGCCCAGCTAGTATACAGCGTACAAAACATAGAGCGTCTTGTGGATCTGAAGACTTAATGTTCAGGAAATGTCTTGCGGAAAGTTCTTTCGGCAAGGGAATAAATCCTTTGGCAATTCCCGTCTTGTACTTTCCAATTTTGATTTCAAGGAAATTGATAGATACTAGGGAATAACCACTTTCGCCATCACAATAGAGTTCCAAACTTGTCCCTGCCATTTTTTATATATTTTATACAAACTATGAATGTTGATAAACATAAAAAATATTACCCAGATAGTCCGCACATGCGCGCATAGTTTCCAGAATGTAATGTTGGTTAAATATGCGATTAAATGGGGTGAATAAAGAAACAGTTCGCTCCATTTTTTTAATGATGTGTTCGAGCGTCACGTTAAGGGAAATCGAAATCCTTATATTTTTGTGACGGAACAATGCGTGGGTTAAAATATTTTGCACCTCATCATATACATATTCAAATGTGTCTGAGACTGATCCGAGTACTACATCATCAAATTGACATTTGTAGGTGAGAATTATTCCTCTGAATGCACTGTCAATTAAATGAAAACGATGAAGAGCAAGCTCGTTTGGTTGTTGTTGTCCAAAACCGGTTTGGACTGGGGCACAAAGATGTAAGTTTATGTCACCCACATAACTGAAACATAAGTCGGTAAACTTTACTTCGTGTTGTATTTATTTTTTTCAACATACCTTGCACAACAATTGCATTCATGCTTAATTTGAAGATGGTAAGAAAAGTGCTTATATTGTGTGAACGAAACATCAGGGCAGATTGGACAGCAGAGCCGACGCTGGATTACTTTCCGCCCCCATTTATTATCGTATCGTTCCACATAAATTATTGGTTTAATGGGACAGGTGGTCTCTTCTTCCATTATTGGAGCAGCGAGCTGTGGTAAAGAACTTGAACTTTGCATTTTCGACACCTGACACGAACCTCACAAAGAACTAGATAATCCAGATTTGTGTTTGTCTTTTCAATTTTTAAGTGCTTCTGCTTCTTGCATACAAAACACTTTCGCTGAAACCCTTGTGATTCTGTTGTAACTTTTCGCACAAAAAATTTGCGCAGCTTTTTAGTCAATACGTCCATTCCAATTTTAAGTGTCCGTCTGTTCTTCAGTTTGTGTATGGCATAGCATATCTTGATAAATATTTAGCCTTTTATATTCTGCTACCAGTTCGTTAAACCCTGAGAAAAATCTAGATTGAGTAAATCTAGAGTCAGAAATTGTCCCTTTAATATATAATGAATCAAGAGACGTGACTCGCGATAGCTGTACGTAAGACTGAGATGGAAATAATTCTTCGTCAATCAAATCAACGACAGCTGTATCAAATTGGGATTCCTTGGGATTTGTGTATTGAAATCGCATATGCCAATTTAATTGGGAAAAATGAGACGCTGAATGAAATATCATAATCTGGATGCTTAATTGTCTCCACTATAGGGACGATAGGAACTAGGCCCTGGAGTTGTGGCAAATCTATGCCCTCAAACTCTACCATTAAAACTGCTGGGAGATTTGTCAAATTTTCTGGATTAAATAAAATTCCCTTAATTTTTCCAACCGTATTAGTGGAAATGCCAAGACCCAAATGGTAATTGCGTTGGACCAGAATTGAAGCATTTAAACAAATTGGAAAGCAGAGTTCCTCCTCCGTCATTATGGGGGTTGGAGGGGTTTGATGCGGCTTAAGATGTACTAACGGATAGCCAAGAGAGCTACATTTCATAATATTTACCTTCCTAATCTGAGAATTTAAAGGGAGTATGTGAATGGATGAAGAAAATCTCTCTCTGTCCTCTTTTGATAAATTGCAGCGACTTTTTAGTAATAACATATCCATCTCTGTAACTTTCTTTCTTCTAATGTTAAATAAAAGCTTTTGAAAAACTAGATCCTTTGCTTGTCTCATGACAGTTTTAAGTACGAAAATTTTTGTAAATTTTTGCCTATACAGCTCCTGCCCTTGCTTTGCAAAAGAACTCAACCTTTCTGTAGGCGTCCAAAGATTATGAGATGCCACTGGTTCCATTTGTGAAAGATCACAGACCAAAAGACAACTGAGTCCGGCAAAAGGGAGAGGGTTATCAAGTTTAATTGAGAGAGCAAGAGATATATAATTAAAAAATGATGGGCTGAGCACACTAGATTCATCAATAAGCAAGAGTTTAACATTATCAAATTCTTTAATTAATTTGGGGGATTTTTTTAGTCGAAGAGCAAGTGACTCAAAATTTGTAGATTTGAAAAAAGGTATGTGAAGAACACTCCATATTGTTCTGCCGTTAATTAATTGTTTGCTACTACTCCCATAACTGCTACATGCTACTACCCCTAAGCCTTTCTCTTCAAACTTTTCATGAATCTCACGCGAAACTTGACTCTTTCCCGTTCCTAAAATCCAACCAGTTTACTAAACTGCAATGCGAATATAAATACTTATGCATACCTGCTTGGCCAGTGAGAATGAAATAAATTGGCTGAGAATCACTTGAAGAGAGGAAGTTGTCTACGTGATCCAGCACTTTTTTTTGACAGGTGGTCCAATTTATGCAGACTCGAGGTTCTCGCTTCCTTTTAAATTTTTTATTTTTCTTCAAATAATTTTGCAACTCGGAAACTTTAAATTTTTTAAGAATTTCAAAATATTTTTTGTCAGAAAAGTATGCAAATGGGAACTCTTTCGAGTTGAACTTCTCCATTGCAAGTGAAAGAAGTACCGTTAACTTCTGCTTTTATACACCCACCAGCTTTGGGGTGGAAAATTCTAGAATTATTCGTTAAAATTGGAAAACGACAAGAAGGTTCTCGTCGTATACGAAAATAGTACCTATCAAACGAAGGGGAGAGAGAGAGTGGTTTCTGTGTTAAGAATAGGGATAACTGTCAAAAAGAGGGGGAAAGGAGACCGGTTTTTCTTTCAGTCGTTGAGAAAGAAATACGTTTCATACGTTATGAACTCGTATGAAATGCATTACATTGTTGCATCATGCATTGCATCATGCTTCCACTCTCAACGACGAAACTTTCCGGATGTAAAGGAGAGGGGTGGAAAATTCTAGAATTATTCGTTAAATTTGGAATACCACACTAAGGTTCTCGTCGTATAGGAAATTAGCAACTGTCAAAAGAAGGGGAGAGAGAAAGTGGTTTCTCTCCCTAAACTTGGTATAACTGCCAAAAAGAGGGGGAAAGGAGACCGGTTTTTCTTTCTGTCGTTGAGAAAGAAATACGTTTTGAAAATACGTTTCATACGTTATGTACTCGTATGAAATGTATTACATTATTGCATCATGAATTGCATCATGCTTCCATTTTCAACGACGAAATTTTCTGGATATAAAAGAGAGAAATTTCTTTCACTTGCTTCAATTCAAATCTTGAGTTCATCCTCTTCATAGCTCCTGAACAAATCCAAGCAGACTTCATGAGAAATAAATCTGCCCCTTCTAAAAAATTTTCAAAGCCTTATCGAATCGTAATTTCCAACCGACTCCTCAATAAACTTATTACGAGTAAAGAAGCGATGGAGTCATCTCAAACTACCCACCTTCGTAAACTAGACGTAGATGAGGTGTATAACGATAACTTTCCCACCCTTCAGGAAAGCATGAAACAGAATGACGATGAAAATTTGCAAGACTCCCAAAAATTTTTTAGCCAAGAAGACGTCCACCTTCTGCCTACTGAATGGGAGGAAAAAAGAGCAAGCAAACGAGATCATCTTCTCAAGCTTGCTAAAGAGAGTGAAGACCAGGACATCTGCCCCGAAAGGAATGATCCATTTTCTTGGGAAGACCAGATAACCAAAAGAACTGGTGCGAAGGCTTCATTATATTTTAGCAATTAACATATTTACAATTTGAATCATTGTAGGTCTGGTTTTCGTCCGTCCTTATTTTAATAAGTTGAAGGATGACTGGTTTATTCATTGGGTGAAGGTTTCATTCCCTCGGAATGGCGAAACTGGAGGTGACTGTTCGTACTTCAAGATTTCTCAGCACGAACTGCCAGAGCTGATTGAACTACTTTCTCAATTGGAAAAAGAAATATCCAGCCAGCCAAGAGGGAAACTAATACCAAGACTTGCAAATAGCAAGTATTCTACTTTTGAAGACAGAAATGATGTTGCCAGATTTTGGGCAAAAGACCATTGCGTTTACTTAAAAAGTGGAAAATTGGCTCTCAGGCAGCACCGAAATTCAGAAAATACCTACACGATTAGAATGTGGTCCCCACGAGAGGAGAAATTTGGCTGGCATGGTATGCATTTTATTATAATAAAAGAAATAATAAATGATGAACCCTCTTTTTAGGTCCGCAAATTTCGTTACATATTGGGCAGACCAAACAGTTCATCAGTATTCTACACGCGTTCAAGAAATACATCGACAATCCACAGGATTTGGATACCACTGCATCCGCTTAATTATTATTATTTGTGAAACATTATTAAAACATTTTTTAACTTTTTTTGTTACCTTGGTGTTAAAGAAAATAAACTCGTGAGAAATCACAAAATTGCAAATCTTATAATCTAAATTTATGCACCCTTCATTTTGGCGACCGGCCCTTCTTAAATAAATTTGCAAATAATAGTCTCAGTCCAGTCTCATTTCACTCGTTGTTCAGTTGCATTCATCGAAAGTGTTCAAGATTTTCATCTAAGTGTTCACGATTTTGTTTTCGTCATGTCCCATTCTAAGTTGTCAAGCGTTCGGGTAAGCCTTACTAATCTGAAAACGTATTAGTTTAGTTGGTTAGCTTAAACTATTGTTTGATAACTAATATGTATCGAACAGGATGCTGCCAAGCCTGCCAATATATTTGGTAGAATAAATCTACGTGACAGAGTCGTGGCTCCGTTTGCTACGCCTGTTTTAGTCCTTCGAAAACTATTTTGGGGGGTAAATGGGACAACCAAGATAGCGATGGTACGAGTTTCCCCAGGGGAAATGAAATTTCTTCAAAACTTTGGCATTGAAGAAGTAAAGGATGGAATTAAGGAAGGGACATTCAGTGTAATCGTCTGCCTGGACGATTACACATTTACTCAAGTCAACGGTCTAGCGAAAATCACGATTCATGTGAATCGGACCGACGTTCTATCCAAGATCCTGAAACAAGCTTTGGATCAGAACTTCCAATTAGATGTTCGTGAATATCTGTGGATGTTTGGCCGAGCACTGGCCGACCCTTGTGATAAATTCAGGGTGAGAAAAATGATGGAAGCCTGGATTAGAGAAGAGGCACACCGCCCAATCCACAATTACTATAGGATGGTGGATGGTCACCTGCCTGAACGGGATCACGCTGAAGATTGCGACGGAGTATCGTCATATGAATGTCCATACTGTGACAAAAGCACCAACAACTTCATTCATTTATATTTACACCTTCAAAACAGACATTTTCCAGAAATGTATTTTATAGACCGGATCACACTTGATCCGGTAACTCAAAGGTAAGTAAATTATTATTATTAACTTGCACAAGGTTTACATGTTTACCCTAACGTCAACTTTTAATTATTTATGTAGACGTTGTGATTGCCCTTGTACAACACACGAGGGGTATCCAACCTTTATCCCTTGGACTCCAGGCCGGTATACTACACCGACGCCCCCTCCTCCTCCTCCTCCCCCCCTCCAGCACCAGCCCCATCCTCTACTTTGACTACACCGGAATCAACCAGACGAGCATTTGGATACACTCGTCGCTGAGTAGTTCAAGCATTATAACAAAATTTTTAAACAAATTTACCAAAATTAGGTTTATTTGAATTAATTTTAAAATTAATTTTTAGCTTAATAATAATTGTTTATTACAAATCATTTTTTCATTTTATTGATTAAATTTTTATTAAGATAGCAGTTTTAATGCTTTTGTGACGATACATATTTTTTCGGTTACCGGAGTAAGCGTATTCCATCCTGCCCAATATTCATATTTTATTAATAGAGGAAGGTTAAAAAATGATTTCATAGTTTTCTTTATCAAACACATCAACCTAGTAATTTGCATTGTAGTTTGAACTGAAGTCCTAGATTTATATGAATTGCTTCTTCGATAATTTGCACAAGTCTTTGTCGCATCGAAAAGAGGATTTAGCAAATGCCAGCCATACCAAACTCTATTTATGCTAGTGGGATCATTTTTAAAGTATGACTGCATGGCGAAGAATATGCGACACATCTGCTTTTCCACCTTAAACTTAATTTTCATAATGCGCACGTTTTTTGACTTATATTTTTGTTTGATGTATGATAATATGTGCGGCTGGAATAGATGTATTTGGTTGTGGCAAAATTATTCTAGGGATTATAATAAGAGCAGGTAAAGGTTTAACAAACTCTTGATGAAATGCATTCAGTTTTGATGCATTTGTCGCACTAGGGGGATGCCCCCACGATGGTTCGAAAGACTTTTCATAGGTTTCCATCACGTGTTTATTGAGTGGGAGGGGTTTGGGAGTGGTTGTGGTAGACTTTTCATACGTTTCCATCACGTGTTTGTTGAGTAGGAGGGGTTTGGGAGTGGTTGTGGTAGACTTTTCATACGTTTCCATCACGTGTTTGTTGAGTAGGAGGGGTTTGGGGGTGGCTGTGGTGGGCTTTTCATACGTTTCCATCACTTGTTTGTTGAGTGGGAGGGGTTTTGGAGTGGTTGTGGTAGACTTTTCATACGTTTCCATCACGTGTTTGTTGAGTGGGAGGGGTTTGGGAGTGGTTGTGGTAGACTTTTCATACGTTTCCATCACGTGTTTGTTGAGTGGGAGGGGTTTGGGAGTGGTTGTGGTAGACTTTTCATACGTTTCCATCACGTGTTTGTTGAGTGGGAGGGGTTTGGGAGTGGTTGTGGTGGGCTTTTCATACGTTTCCATCACGTGTTTGTTGAGTGGGAGGGGTTTGGGAGTGGTTGTGGTAGACTTTTCATACGTTTCCATCACGTGTTTGTTGAGTGGGAGGGGTTTTGGAGTGGTTGTGGTGGGCTTTTCATACGTTTCCATCACGTGTTTGTTGAGTGGGAGGGGTTTGGGAGTGGTTGTGGTAGACTTTTCATACGTTTCCATCACGTGTTTGTTGAGTGGGAGGGGTTTTGGAGTGGTTGTGGTGGGCTTTTCATACGTTTCCATCACGTGTTTGTTGAGTGGGAGGGGTTTGGGAGTGGTTGTGGTGGACTTTTCATACGTTCCCATTACTTGTTTGTTGAGTGGGAGGGGTTTGGGGGTGGCTGTGGTGGGCTTTTCATACGTTTCCATCACTTGTTTCTTGGGTGGGAGGGGCTTGTGAGTGGTTGTGGCAGACTTTTCATACGTTTCCATCACGTGTTTGTTGAGTGGGAGGGGTTTGGGAGTGGTTGTGGTGGACTTTTCATACGTTCCCATTACTTGTTTGTTGAGTGGGAAGGGTTTGGGAGTGGTTATGACAAGAGGAATTATTAACTGGGTGGCTGGTTTAGTGGTGGTGTTTGAAAATTGGCCACCTACGAAATAAATAATTAGTTTGCAACATGATTTTGCAAATGTACATAATGATTATCGTGGTATATTACGTAATCCGACATTATTCACCGGTGGTTCGTAGTTGAGGTTGCTTCTTAACAATTGTTCTAAGATTTAAATTGCAAAAAAATATTACTAAATTTTACATACATACATAAATATTCTCGTTTACCTTTCGTTTCTTCAAATTTGGCACATGCACTCTGCGACATGTATTTTATGGACGATCTGATGTTTTCCGTCTTTTTTTCACAAGTGGCACTTAAATGTTGGGTTTGGAATATCCATGAACATCTTTTATTATTTATGCACACAGCACAAGTATTAATCACATTACACTGTGATTGTACTTTGTATATAATCAATAATATTATACATATTAAACCCTTCATTTTCAAAAAATATATTATAACAATTGGGTTTTTCGTTGCATGGGTGGATTTGTAAACTTGGAATGAAATTTTGCATACAAATCACATTCCATGAACTTTTATGAATCCCGTACTCGAAAAACAGCACTAGGCCCTCCATCTATTATTTTTCCATGTAACGGTGAACAAAGTAAAGTGTATACGTATACATGTATTTTGCATAACATAATATCATCATCATCATCAGTCACATCTGTCATTTCTATTAATCATAAAATGCAGTGCTCCGAAATTTTGAATTGTTTAATGTGCCTGGCACAATTTTGCTATTACTTTGAGACCAGTGGGGGCGGTCAAGGGTGTGTGACAAACCCGCTCTTGGTGAGTCGCAATGCGATTATGCGTCTCGACCCAGGTCAAAATTGCCCTCTCCCTACCTACTTCCCTTCATCAACATCTCCATCCGTCCAAAGTTTTTTTTCCACCACCTTTTCAACCACACCCACCATAACAGTTGTTCCTCCTACATATGATGGCACATTTAATGGTATGTAATATTTAATGGTTATATCTATATAATTATTTACACACACTTTGCATTACAGGATGGCTCATTCTTTCGATCTGCTTATCAGTCTTGCCAACCCTGATCATCATTTTTTTTAAAAGAAAGCCAATTATGGGAAAGATTCGGTTGATTTGTAGAAGGAAGGTGACCCCGCGGAACGATGTCGAATCAGGCCCACGACCTCCTCATCCCACAAAAAATAAGAAATCCACCACCACCGCCACTGATATAAATAAAGTTATGACAGAGAAAGTTGAGCTTGACCAACTTCATTACGAGGCAACAAATCGTCCCTCCACGTCCAAATAAGCTTATTATTATTATCATTATTACCATAATGTCCTTTGAGTAAGGCGACAAGCTATTATTATTACTATTATGATTATGATTCGGCTAGAGCAGAAATAAATTTGTTACACTCTCTCTCTCTCTCTCTCTCTCTCGCATCATCATCATCATCACACTCACAGTCCACGCGACCTTGACCTCTCCTCCAGTTCCGGGTCACACACACACACGCACACGCGAAAACCCCCCATATTCCCTTATACTCAGAGAGTAACGCAAATAAGAGAAGGCATACATGAGTGGCGCGACGTATTGCCAGTACTTGTCGAAAAAGTTGTTATTATCACCGCTTACGCTTTCTAGTTTAATTACAGCTGAGGCTTTGGAATTCCTCTGCAAGATGTAGGTACTTATTAGAAAAATTTTATGTAAAAGGAAAATATATGTTGTTGTTGGATAATCACTCCCCACACCGTGGGTGAGCTTATCCTGATTTGGTGGGGTTTGTGGTGTCGGGTGACTCCTACTTTAAACAGGAAGTTTGATGCCAATTAAGTGCTCAACAAATGGTGATCTCTATTTAGCAACACAATTTATTAGCACACAAAAACTATTGAATTTATTGAACACCAAACTGCCAGATCCTCTCTGGCCAACGTCCTAATAGTGAGTACACAAAATAACGATTTACTCCCACTTTTGCCAACTAAAACCTACACGTCATCGTGCCACGTATCACTTGTTCACCCGAACCGGGCTGACTTTCACTTTGGGCTGAAATGAGAATAAACTACACACACAATATCTAAAATCCTC